TTTATGATAAAATGACCACGTCTACCATGAATATCAATGGCACTCAAAGCAAAATAATACTTATAACCTGGTATCTAACCAAAAAGTTTTGCATTGGATTTGAAGATGATCCAATATTATTTACGTGAATCCAGTAGGGAGAGTTTTGATAAAGATTACTCCAATAAAATAGTTCATAATAACAAATGTCCTCATGACGTTTTTTTAATTCTATTTCCCATTGAAGCATCAAGAGCATTTTATTCTTTTTTATATTAAGGCTTATAGGCACTGGTGGGATTTTATTCCGGTCAGGCTCGTTTTCAACAGGCAACGGTGGCGGATACCTTAGATTTGTTCTTCCCATAGATGGAAAGTATGTGTTGTGTTCAAATACTAGCGGTTCTGGAACAAATGCATTTTACCACCCCATCGAGTTTTTTCAATTTTTTTTTTTTTTAAATGTGTATTTTTCAATGCTTAANACGCACTTTTTTCAAAACTATCGTCCATAAAAAATATGCCAATTCCTAAAGATGATGATTTGTTTGCAAATAATTTGAAAAAATCATTAGATAAATCATTTAAGGATTTGAGTAATTCTGCAAAAAATTCATGTTCTTATGAAAACATTATTAATCGCATAAATTCATATTTAAAAGAATACTATGATTATAAATTAGCTAATGCAGATTATAAGGAAAGCTTTGCAGAATGTATGATTGCTAGTGACCGATTCGAGCCCCTTCGGGACTCTCATGGGATGGGGGCTCACGCCCCCAAACCCCCAGAGGATAGAAGTCAAGCCCAAACCCAACCTATTTAAACCCATTCGACTGAAATTTCAGTGACCCAACAAGTATAAAACCTTGATGTTAAAATGGTGATATAATATTGAAAAATTTTAATTTTAAAGAATAACCACAATTGTTAAATGACTAACACTTGTAAACGGAACAATGACGCACAAATCAACGCAACAAGCTTATCTCAACTGAATACCGCGATTACAGTCGTGTTGAGATTACCATAAACAATGATATTCTATAAAACATGGTATCATGTATTTCTGTTACCAACTGTCTAATATAAAAATGCATCATTATAATTTAAATAATGCAAAAAATTGTACATTTAGTTAGAATGGAAACTGATACTGTATGTAAATTGTATGTAAGCGATATCGATACAGCAATGGTTTGAAATGCGTCCCCGAAGTAAATTTTTTTTTAGCATCTTAAATTTACTATTCCGCGGTAACTACATCATCGAGAATACTTTTTATAATTAATTAATGAAAATTATCAAAAAAAAACAGCAGTATATAACAAAATTTGTATATGATTATTGAAATCTTTGAAAGCTCATAACTTTTAAACTAGACTTCGCCGACAAAAATTTTTTATATATTCTTAGTCGGTATGAAAAACTAAATTGATTTAAAAAAAAAAATTTGAAAAATCTCGATTGGGTGGTAAAATGCATTTAAGCCGCGGTTCTTCAAAATACAGAGCGGATACACTTTTTGATCGTTCTTTTTGTGATTTAGATATTTCGCCATTCTATTAATTTTTGGCCGTATAACTGGACAAGATCGAATTATGTATGATATATGATCGTATGAACAGGAAGACGCAGTGTTAGTTTTACAAGTGTTAACCTGAATATTGGGTGTCAAAGGAACTTTAACTTGAGATTCATCCAACTTAAAAACCTAACTGTCTAATTTTTTTGTTGACATATGTTTACATATAATGGACTTTGTGTAAACCAAAAGACCCACGTCTATCGTGTTCATCTACAGCTCTTATGGCGAAATGATACGTATAGCCATACTTGACGTTATCTATTTCATAACCCATAGGTAATGAATAATATTCAATCATACATTTGTCTCTTTTCAATATAAAATTTTGAAACTAATTATTATAGCATACGAAGAATTTATATTTAAACCCAAGACAAAGTGACAATTGTTACTTTATTGTGCGCAGTGAATTTTGAGGTGGGCGGTGTTTTTTTCCAAATCGGCTTGGTCAACATTGATTGCGCAATAGGCAACGATGGCGGGTACCTGGAGTTTGTTTTTCCCATAGATGGAAAGTATGATCTGTTCTCAAATCGTCGTGGTACTTCAGAATCACTCACGAATTCCATTTCTACAAAAATATTATTAATTTAATGAAATATTGCCAAAAAACTGTTGATTATTTAATAATAAGTTATGTAATCATATAAACAAAACTTCAAATAAATATGTGATAATAAATATGTGAATGCATCTACTGTTATTTGCCTATGAATTTAAACNATAAATATGTGATAATAAATATGTGAATGCATCTACTGTTATTTGCCTATGAATATAAATACTTGTAAAATGTTCTTATTTTTTTATTTAATTCCTAACGCAAAACGATTTTTTAATGGGAAAGTATATTAATATTATTCATTTAATATTATATTAAAAGATCAAAATTTTTAAAAAATTGTATGCATAGAAAAACACTATGTTTTTGGAACATTATCGCCAATGAACAATCCGAATTAAGGGTAAAGTGATGAACATGCCGTGACCAACAAGCTTATCTAGTGGGACCCTTATTCTCGTATTTTACTAGTCTAGTCATGATTTTTCACAGATTTGAACAAAATTGGTTAGTAACTAGTGTTTGGATTACTTAATACTTGTAATACTTTGAATCTAGTGATAAAATTTGTTATAATTTTTGTAATATGAAATATTTTTGAATAATTATTTGAATTTTGTAATAAAATAATTAATTATAATTTAATGTGATTTCAATTGAAAAAAAATAATTGATGTCTTAATACTATACTGCCGTGCTAAGCGAAAACAGGATAACTCCAGTCAACATGATTTTTCAGGAACACAAAAAAACATATTTAACAGTAAATCAAGATACCCTTTTTTCCCAATGTATGAACATAAGTCAAAAGACGGTAACTCCATTATTTTTTATGTGATATACCAAGTTTTTGCTTAGTATTTGGATTTACTGTGTTTTCGCTTACAAAACATCAAATATATTGAACTTTCCGTATATTTTCTTATATTATATTTCAATTTTAGATTGGTTTTAATAGGAAATATGTTATTTTTACATCAAAAATCAGTGTAAAACCACTAAATTTACCTATAGAAACAAAAAAAAATTTTTTTTTTAATTTTGGAGTTATCCTGTTTTTGTTTTGCACGGCAGTATAAAGAATAGTTTTCATTTTATGATACGAATTCATTTTTTAATTTACATATTAAAAAAAGAAGAGATAATTTCAAAAATAGTCCATTAGATTAAAAATTTATCAATGTTCATCAAACCATTTTGTAATTTATTATAAATATAAGATAAATTTATAAAATTGCTAAAAATATATGCCAACTATGATATTTCCAAACAGGCGCCCATCCAAGTACTAACTACTATTGACTTTGCTTAACTTCAGTGATCGGACGAGAAGTAGTGTATTCATCGTGGTTTGGTCGTTGGCGATGTATTAATCGTCTCCTTATGAAAAACTTTTATACTGCTAATGTATTTATTATAAATTTATTATAACAATATATAATTTACATTGCATATTATTACATACATTTTTTTTTGTAAGTAATGATTTCCTTGAATTGCGTTACAGTGTATTTTCTTTTAATATCTGAATATTAGAAAAACATTGATTTTTGTTAAAAACATTGAAGTGTGATATATTCAACATAATATTCATATCAGCAGTTTTCATCATTATTGTGAGTAAAGAATAAATAAAAACCCAGATTGGTGGGTCATCGCATAGTTAACAAGTATGTATTAGAATAATATAAAATATATAAAAAATAATTTTTAACCCTAACAACGTTTTAGAAACGTCGCAAGTAGGTATTTTGAGACAATCAGACTGTCTAAGACTCATTCTATAACCGTCTTTTGACCAAATTAAGACAAACTTGGGACGTCGTAGAATCTTCCTAATGTCACGTCTCAGGTCTGTCCATGCGTGACCTGTTTAGGATGATTTATAAATATACAAATAAATGTATATATAATAGCATAATTATATGTAACTAAAAAAATTCAAAATGGAAATTTTAAAATTATTATTCTGAGAAATATTGAGTGGACAATGATATAAGAATCATTCTGTATTAGAAGATCCCTAGTAAACAAAGAATTATAAAGCTGATTTTATTAAAATATCAATACATTAAAAATGATTAATGTATTGATGGTATGGGAAAAATAAAGATAAAATTATTGTAATATCACTATGCATAATGTATACCATATATTCTCTACTAATACATAAAGTATACTTTCAAAATTAAAAGTATATACGACAAAGATAAAAGTGTAAATAAATTTATCTAATACCTTATTTTATAATATTTAATAATTATATAATAATTGTATAATAATAATAATAATAATATTATTAAATTAATTAAAAAAAAAAGTTTCTCAATGAAATAGTCAATAGTTATCGAATGTCACAATTTAAAAATGGTACTACAGTAATAAATAGTTTAAAGTAATACAAAATTAAATAAAACATATCAAAAGAAAATTAATACATGAAGTTAAACATAATAGTAATTTACAATTTGCAAGATTTGTTTTTGCTTAAACACAAAAAGGTACAATATTTAATATATATTCCTCTGATATATTTATACGTTTTCATTAAAAACAATAATGTCGATGTTCTTGTAACGTATTAGAGATGAAAAAATACTTAATAAATAATATACTAAGTAGTAATAAGTATAATATTTGAATTTCAAACTTTATAATTTTATTTTTGTTAAATTTTTATAATACTTCATTGTTTAACAAAGCGAATTAGAATGATTTATGTTATAAAAAACGTATTTTAAAATGAATATTTTAAAATTTAAGTAAATATATTGACATATAAATAAAAAAATGTCTTCATAAATCATTTATATTCTTACTTAAATAACTAAAAACAATTAAAAAATGGCATTACACTATACATAGATCTCAGTACACGTTTTGTGTGTTAGTGTTCATTAGTTTTGATTTATAAAAATTGATACTATTTATTTAAACTTTTATATTGTTAAATATGAATTTTCTAAACTGTTTTATATTAATCGTTATTTTAATTCAATCACTACTGTCAAATTTTGTATTAACCAATTTAAACGAATATCAAAAAATTCAACGTCTTAATGAAATACTTGCGAATGTGGACATACGGGATAAATTCAAGAATATAAAAGTTATACATGGAGATCTAAGATTACCAGTTGATAAAATCTTTGATAGTAACGACAATATAAATATACATCAGAATAATACACAATTTGTTGAAATGCCTGTTGAATTACTTTCGTCAACATATTTGCATGTTAATTTAAGCAATTATAAAAAAAAGGTAGAGTTAATTTTTAAATTTGTAAAATGTAAATGTTGGGAAATAATTAAGTTCTGTAATCGATTTTTGCTATACATAAATAGTGGTTATGAATTAATCTGTGAAGATGAAATAAAAACACAAGATAGAACAATGACCTTACAAATAAAGAATTTGCTTATAAGAAAAATCAATGAATATAAAGAATTAGCACGTAGACTTCGGTTGTATGTATTGTTTTTTAAAAGTTTATTCCCTGATGGTAAAGATATTGTAAGTTCCACTGACGCACTTTTTTCAAAACTATCGTCCATAAAAAATATGCCAATTCCTAAAGATGATGATTTGTTTGCAAATAATTTGAAAAAATCATTAGATAAATCATTTAAGGATTTGAGTAATTCTGCAAAAAATTCATGTTCTTATGAAAACATTATTAATCGCATAAATTCATATTTAAAAGAATACTATGATTATAAATTAGCTAATGCAGATTATAAGGAAAGCTTTGCAGAATGTATGATTGCTATCTTTGACGAATATGTAAAACAAACTTATGATTTATTTACACTGTTGACATTAAATAAAGTAACTATTGATACACAATATTCAATTACCAATTATTAATGTTTATAAAACATATATGAAACTTNAAGTAAAATTAAAACTATATTAAAAATATTATTAATTTAAAAAAACTAAAAAATATTAAAAATATTAAACTCAAAAGCCACAAAAAAATTAATGAAAAGTCGCGGATACGTATTTCGGAAACAATGTTACCATTATCAACGCTAAACACATACTGACACCCCGACTAGAAAAAACTCCCTTATATACCCCTAGTGACCTTATCACCTAGTGACGTCATCACTAAGTAATATTATCACATTTTGCCAGTTTACACAAGTTTAATAATGAATTTTTCAGTGTGCCAAGATCCCACAATTAATTAAATTGTTTTTATTTTTAAACATTTCTATTGCTTCTCTGATGTTAAGTTCTTTGTAATTATTTACGTTTTTAATTAGTTTTATGGTTTTAATGGAGTGATTATGTGTCAATAAATGTTATGTTATATATATTTTACCTATCATTTGATATATATATATATTTTAAATATTTGACCCTTTACCTGTCCGCAGGGAGGGATTCAAAATGAAAACTTTTTCAAATAAAATTTACTTTTTCAATTTAACTTTATAAAAGTGTTCCAAAAATACTTACACTTATATATATTAGGGTGGTCCTTATTTTTCGACTTAGGAAATTCCTTGGTCTCACCCCCCAAATTTATTTATATACATGTAAAAACGAACCAAAAAAAATTTCACTTCAATCAGACAAGTTTAACTCGTGCCTACTCGAGGTTGAAAATTGGACAAAAGGGGTAGTCTTCTAGTGTTTTGTACGTAACTCGGAAATGAACGATCATAGAAATAAATTATAGAATATAAATTGTTGACAATGTTATGGACTATAAATTTAATCTTTACACATTTTTTTTAAACTCATTAACTTTTTAAAGTGTTCCGAAAATACAGACAATTTTAAATATACCTTAAATTAAAGCTTATATAAGAATACTTCATTATGGAAAAAAAAAACTTCGGATTTTATTTTGTCTTTACGATGAAAATAGTCACCAAATGCTATTTTTGTGTGAAAATTCTTGATTTTATTTATTACATTTTCAACTTTATAATGCTATAACTTTTTGAAAAGTGTAAGGATCAACACAATTTTTTTTTGTAGATACTTGATGTCTTTACCTATCATTTGATATATTTTTTTTCTAAATTTGACCCTTTATCTGCCCACAGGAGGGGATTTAAAATGACAACTTTTTCACAAAAAATAAAATTTTTCAACTTACCTTTTAAATTGTTCCGGAAGGTCTGACACTTTTATAAATATCTTAAATTAATGCTAATATAATATACTTTAATTTAAAAAAAAAAAATTTGATCTTTGGATTTGTCTTCATGGCGAAAATGGCTACCGAATGCTATTTTCGTGTGAAAATTCTCGATTTTATTTTTAATATTATATTTAACTTTATAATGCTATAACTTATTGAAAAGTGTATGGATCCACACAATTTTTTTATGAGAAATATTTTTTAATAAACCCTTTTTCATTCGACATACTTTATCTTCATCAAGATATTAATAAGGAACCAACAGATTATGTAGCTTTTGGAATAAAACACCATTTTTTTTTTTTAATTAAACACTGTCTAAAGATTTGCATCGAAGCGTTTTTTTTTTATAGTGATTTTAATCACTGTCAAATATCATTATACTTGATCCAACTATACCACGGCACCACTGTGCCCGACCCCCCTGAGCTGGGTTTTTTTAAAAGAACACCATTTCCCTTTATATACAGGGTGATTCATTAAGGATAAGACACTCGTTTACTCAGTAGCTATTGAAAATTTTAAATTTTTGGTAAGGAAAATATTGTTTGATTCAAAAAACACTACAATAATATGTAGTAAAAACATGATATTTTTCATCCCTTCAAGGTTAAAAAACATTAACTTGAGTTTTTTTAAATGAGAACACATATTTTGAATTTAATAACATTTTTGAGTTTTTAATTTAATAGTAAATGGCATTTGAATTTTTAATATAACTTTATTCGTTTATTAAATATAAACATTTAAAGTTTCAAATTTTTGAGTTAATATACATGTATAATACAGTAGGGATTAAAATTACAGATAGCTAATTGTTTTTTTATGACATCGATATTAGCAGGTACAAAGCATTGTTATTATCAATGGTAGTAAGGCACATTGTTGTGAGTTTATAAATACACTAACTGACAATAAAGAATGTATATCTATTTTTTTTTTTTTTTATTAAGAAAATATTACAATCTGTATACATAATACAATAAGTAAAAATGACTGAACAATGTGTTACAACGCATGAATATCGTGCATGAAGAAGGAGCCCATTGACACCACTTCAAAATAAAAGAATAATAATTAAAATTGTGAAACTAAATTTGTGCTAAAGTGAGTTAGAGAAGGTCTTTAGCCCAGTTTCTTTTGAGTCGACGTAATGGGTTAATAGGGTTAGAGGGATTATGGAGATTAGATATTAGAGGGTTAGGATGGTTTTGTGTGTCACTGTGGAATTTTTTAAAATAGCAAGAAGCAAGTTCAGGAAGTGTTAGAATTTTTAGGTCTTTGTGGAGAGTTTGGTTACTAACATACCACGGTGCTCCTGTTATAATTCTTAGGTTAATTGATTGAAAGGATTGAAGGATAGAGATATTTGATTTTTTCGCGGATCCCCAAATTTGAATACCGTAGGTCATGGCTGGGCGTATGATTTGTTTGTATATTAGTAGTTTTATATTAAGTGGCATATTAGAACGGAGAAGATGTCTCAGAGAATGGAGACGTAGGTTTAATGATTTTCGTTTGTTTTTTATGTGGTAGGCCCAATTTAGTTTTTTGTCTAAATGGATGCCTAAATATTTAGTGTAATCATGTTGAGGAATTATGTTGTTATTTATCGATAAAGGAGGGCCATTGGTGGAACGGAGAGTAAATGATACGTGGGAGGATTTTCCTTCATTAATTTTTATTCTCCATAATTTGAACCAAGTTTGGAGTTTGTTGAGATGATCTTGGAGTGATTTTGTTGCAGAATTAGAGTCAGGATTGGAGGATAGTATGGCAGTGTCGTCTGCAAATGTAGCGAGATGTGTATTATTTGAGTGTGGAATGTCTGAGGTAAATATATTATAGAGGGTTGGGGCTAGGATGCTTCCTTGAGGTATACCTGCGTTAATAGAATGAATGTTGGATGTTTCGTCATCGCAACGTACGGCAAACGTGCGTTGTGATAAGAATGACTTTAACGTGAGGTATAAGGGAGCTGGAAGAAATCGAAGTTTATAAAGAAGTCCTTCAGTCCACACGCGGTCGAACGCCTGTGCGACATCAAGAAATACTCCTTCACAATGATTTTTGATTTCTAGGGATGAGGAGATGATGTCTGTTAATCTATGAATTTGGTGCAGTGTGGAGTGTTTATTTTTAAAGCCAAATTGAGTGTTTGGAATTGTTTTGTTTTCGTTTATTATAGGATATATTCTTTTTAGTATGATTTTTTCAAGGATTTTAGAAAGGGACGGGAGTAGACTAATTGGCCTGTACGAGGAAGGTAATTCAGGAGGTTTGCCAGGTTTGTGGATAAGAATTATAATTGAGTGTTTCCATGTTTGTGGTATGTATGATAATCTTAGTATAGAGTTAAAAATATAGGTGAGTTGTATTATAGCTTTTTTTGGTAGATGTTTGATGATTTTATTAGTGATTAGGTCGTGACCGGGAGACTTGTTATTTTGTAATTTTTTTATTAAAAAAAGAATTTCTGATGGGGAGGTGTGTTTAGTTGGGAGAGCCATGGGACAAGGAGTATCTAGTGATTCGGTAATACGTCTTGTGTGATCTACACTGTTTATGTCTGAGTGGGGACAGAAGTTGTTAGCAAGGTGAGTTGCAAATAAATTCGCTTTTTCGGAGTTAGATATGGCTAGGGTGTTATTTGGATTGCGTAAGGGGGGTGATACTTTTTTTTCCTTGAGTATGTTTTTAGTTGCTTTCCATAAAGACTTATTATTATTTGTGAGTGACTTTATATAATGTTGATATGATTCAGTGTTATATTTGTATAGAAGATTTTTCAAGTTGCAGGAGAGACGATTGTAGGTGGATTTATCACTTGGAAGGTGTGTGCGTTGCCATCTAGCTCGAGCACGGCGCTTTTCTTTTATTAATTGAGATAAGTGTTGAGGGAGATTATCTTGTTTAGTTTTGGGGGAATGAGTATTGGAGGCTCTTGTTGCAGAATTTTTAATAATATCGGTTAGAGATTGTACTGCGTTATCAATATCAGAATGATTTTTAAGTGATATATTTAGAGAGATTTGGGATTCTACGGACTCGCTGAAGATCTGCCAGTTGATTTTTCCAGAGATCAGGGTAGGATAAGTTGTTTTAAGTGTGACGTGATCATTTAGAGATAGTAATACTGGAGTGTGGTCAGATGAAAGATCGCTTAGGTTGGAGATATTTCGATTGATATGGTTTGGTAAGTTGGTTATGAAGAAATCTAAGATATCAGGCTGCCTATTTTGATGGGTTGGCCAATATGTAGGATTAGGGGGAGAGAGGAAAGTTAGGTTTTTATTTTGTATGACATTATGTAGTATACGACCTCTGGTATTGATAATTCTAGAGCCCCATGAGGTGTGTTTGCAGTTAAAGTCGCCACCAATTAGAAAATTATTCCCAATGGAAAGAAGAAAGTTCGTAAGTTCGTTAGAGTTAAGTTTTGCTTGAGGAGGAAAGTATGCAGAAGAAATAGTCGTTGGAATGTGGTTTAAGATTATTTTTATATTAGTTGCTTGAATAGAGTTGCTCTGGTAAGACGGTAGAGTAGAGTGTTTGAGGTTTGATTTTATTATAATCGCTGAGCCTGCATGAGCGTTTCCACTTGGGTGATCGCAGTGGTATGTTATATATCCAGGAAGTTTGAATGAGGAGTTTGAGGTAAGATGTGCTTCACTGATAAGGATAATATCAACGTGAGAGAGCTGTAGGAAGGCTTTAAGTTCATTTTT